GATTTGACTGAATCTGAACGGTACAAATCAAAGCTATTAAGAGAAGAGTGTAAAAAACGAAATAATGACAATATTGACACGGCAAACTTTTACTTTGGTATTAGAAATGACAAAGTTGTAAAAATAAAAAAATAGCAACTAAATGCCAAAAAAGACTTAAACCACATACGATGCTTTAACTATGAAACAAATAATAAAATAAATCTGTTTAGTGGTGGAGGTCAAAATCTTAACAAGTTGCTGAGCAATAAGAAACTGCTAGATATTGAAATAGTAAACATTTATGAGCGTAAGAAATGTGATTTAAGTATAAACAAGGAGCACGATACTCAAAAATGCAATGAACTGATGATTTGGTATACAAATGCAACGTCTCTGAATAATAAAATTGATGAGTTAAGGTTACAATGTGAAATATATAAACCGGATGTTATTTTTGTTACAGAAACTTGGTTTAAAGCAGAATCAGATGTAAATATAATTAGTTATAATATTTTTAAAAGTGATAGAAAGACTCATGGAGGAGGTGTTTGTATTTATGTAAAATAATGTATTAATCAGTTTGAAACAAATAATTTACAGTTAAACAATAATTTTATAGAACAAATATGGACTTGTATATGTTTTAAAAATAACAAAATGCTAATTGGATGCATTTATAGACCACCAGATATATCTCATTAGTATAATAACTTTGTTTTGCTATCTATTAATGCTGCTAAAATGAGTATTTATCAAAAAGAATACAGTGATCTTATTATTACAGGTGACTTCAACTATAATACAATAGATTGGTCTGATAATAATTGTCCTTTTTTAGCAACTGATAATGAATCTCAAACTAATAAATTTATTGAATGTCTTGAAGATTGTTTTCTATTTCAATGTGTATGTGAGCCAACATTCCAAATAGCAAACTACAAATCGGCTAATATTCTAGACCTTATTATTACAAACGATAAAAACAAAATTGTTTCTATAACTCACTCAGCTCCTTTAGGGATTGTCAAACAGGGTCATCATTTATAAAAAGTGCTGTTATCTAATGAATGATTATAAGTCTTCTACCGGACATAAGAAATCCATTAGATTATATCAAAAAGGAAATTATGAACTATTTTCTCGCCATTTCAATAATGTAGATTGGGAAAATGGATTTAAAAGTAAATCTATAAATGAAATGTATGATTTATTTTTGTATCATTATAATTATGCAACTAATCTGTTTATCCCAAAAATTAATTATCAAAATAGAAGGAACAGAAACAAATGAATTACTCCTGAATTAAAACATAAAATAAGAACTAAAAACAATATACGGCTTGCTAATAAACGTAATGGCTGGAATGAGGAATCGACAAAAATTCAGTATAATAAGCTAAAAATTAGAATAAAGAATGATATTAAGAACAATATAAAACAACTAGAAAGTACTTTAGCTAGCAAGTTCAAATCAAATCCTAAAATGCTTTATAAATATATCAATGAGAAGAAATCAGTGAAAATTCGAGCTCTGGAAATTGATAATGGGGAAATTATAAATGATCAATTCGCTATAGCTACTGAACTAAATAAATATTTTCATTCTGTGTATGTTAATGATAATTGTACAAGTATTATTGAGTTTCATAATATACCTTCAAATTTATTATTAAACACAGTTTTGATAACACAAAATTATGTTCAAACTAGACTTCGAGCACTTGATAAGTCAAAATCAGTCGGTTTTGATTTTGTTCATCCATATGTTTTAAAAGAATGCAGCTCGTCAATATCATACCCATTATAATTAATTTTCAAAAAATCGATGGAAACAGGTACACTACCAGATATATGGAAGAAGGCAAATGTAATGCCACATTTTAAAAAAGGAAGCAAGTTAAAAGCATCTAACTACAGACCAGTCTCGTTAACTTCAATACAATGTAAAGTGTTAGAAAGAATAATAGCTGATTGTATCATGCAACATCTCATAAAAAATAATTTACTTTCAAAAAAACAACATGGTTTTATGAAAAGCAAGAGCTGTACAACAAACCTATTAGAATACTTAGATATTTTAACAGATGCGTTCCACAATGGAACACCGGTAGATGTATTGTACACAGACTTTAAAAAAGCTTTTGATAGTGTTTTACATAAAAAGTTATTATCCAAGTTATTGACTTTTGGCATTTCTGGTAAATTTCTTACGTGGATAGTCTGTTTCTTAGCTAATAGAAAACAAAGAGTGGTTTTAGGTGAAAGTGTGACAGGTTGGGTTGATGTACTTAGTGGTGTACCACAAGGGTCTGTTCTAGGTCCTCTCCTTTTTCTGGTATTTATAAATGATTTACCAAAAAATTTTAATAATGAATGTTGTTTATATGCTGATGATAGTAAGATAATTGCGCCTATTTCGTCTCAAAACGATTCACAATTGTTTCAAAATGATATAAATAAACTTGAGGAATGGTCAACAAAATGGAAATTAGGATTAAATTTTGAAAAATGTAAAATTATGCACTTTGGTTAAAATAATAACGAATATTCATATTTTATGAACAATAACAATACATTAATGGAAATTGAAAAGTCAAAACTAGAAAAAGACATTGGTGTATATATATATATCAAGTGATTTAAAATGGGGCAAAAAGTAAAATATGCAGCTAGTAAAGCAAATAGTATGCTCTCACTACTAAATAATACATTCAAGTACAAGGGTAAAGATCTAATAAAAACACTGTATTGTACATATGTTAGACCAAATTTAGAGTTTTCAATTCAAGCATGGAGTATTATACAAAAGATATTAATGAACTAGAAAAAGTCCAACAATGAGCTACCAAAATGATACCGGAGCTAAGACATCTTGAGTACAAAAAAAGATTGAAAATTTTGGGTTTGACTACTTTAGAGACTAAAAGGCTAAGGTGACTTGATCCAGCAATTCAAAATATTTAAAGGTATTGAAATCATTGATATTAAACAAAATCAAACAATGAACTCTATTTGCTCATCAGGTCCTGGAGCTAACATTAAAGGAGCAAAACATCGAATGAAACCTTAATTGGTCAGAAATTGTTTGAAAAAACAATATTTTTTCAGCAATAGAGTTGTTGATGGATGAAATAGTCTACCAGCGGAAGTTATTCAATCTACTACAGTTAAAAGCTTCAAATTAAACTTGCGATCGGTCGAGAAGCAATAAAAAACAAGATAAAAACCAAGAAAGTTTATTATTAACGTTTTTATTATTTAGTGACTGAACTAACTTGTTCATTAATTAATTTATACCGGCTGTCATAGATATTGTCTGGTGCTTCATCTCAACAGCATTAATTATTATTATTATTAAATTAGAAAATTTTCGGCTTGTCGAAGTTTTTACTTATGCTCCTTATGTTTATGCGTATTGCCTTATTTTCATTAGGTTGACTTTTTTAAATGTTGCAAAGTAATTACATTAAAATATTTTAAAATATTTTAGACAAAAAAACTGCTATCACAGTTTAGGGGGGAGAGGGATTCATGTATATATAATCGTTTGTGACAGGAGGGAAGGGGTTAAGAATGACAAATATAGAGTGACATGCTTTATGGATGACCATTGCATTTACAAACGATTTGTTTTACTAAAACAAAAATAAAAAAGATTTTAACTGATTTTTTTTTACATTAAGTGAATAGCAAATAATTTTTTTTTTTTAATTATTTATTTATTTATGTGTATTTATATGTCAACTAAAATAAGAATACATAAGCAAATGCAAAAGCAATAATATAAGCAATTTTAATAAATATTAACAAAATTTTTTTTTTTTTTCTAAATTCTCTTAATATAAAAAGTTTCAGTTAAAATCTTGTCATACTAACGGAAGTTACTTAATGACGTAATTCATTTTGTAAACAAAAACTTAATGAAAAAGCGCCATAACTTTAGTAAATGCATGTAGTTTTAACTTGCGTTACACAAATTTAAAATAAAAATGTGCTTTAGCTAGGCATCGTTATTCAAAACTTTAAATGTGAAAGCGTAACATTTAATATTCTTTCGCATATATTATTAAAAAAACTTAAGTTTTTTAACTAAATTTTAGAAAAAACAAAACTTTATCACGTTTTTGTTAACTTATGTTACAATAAAATTGCAATAATTCTTTCATTATTTTCCTAAAATATATATATTATATAAAGTATTTGACCAACAACAATTTGAACATGTTAGCTCCATTTTCACGCTAAATTAGTGCCGACTTTACAAATAAATTCATGTTTAAAATAATATTTTTAAAATGATACCTTTTTTATCATGCAACAATGAGAAAAACCATAACTTTCAGAGGCATAAAAATGACTTTAAGTTATATTTAGTATTAAAGGTATATTTTAAATAAACTTTCATGTGTCTACATCAATATTCATTCGCTAAAAGTTAACAAAAAAGTGAATAAAATTTGACTACTTTTTATATATATATATATATATATATATATATATATATATATATATATATATATATATATATATATATCAGCGCTCAAAATAATGGCCAATCAATGACTAAAGATCGGCAAATTTTAGGGAAATTTCAAAAAATTCAAGGAAAAATAACCTTTTTTTGTGAAAAAAATTTCATTTGATCGGCAAGCTTTGAAAAACTATTTCGAGCACTGATATATATATATATATATATGTATATATATTATATATATATATATATATATATATATATATATATATATATATATATATATATATATATATATAATATTTTTGTTAATGTGAAATTTAAAAATTTATTAAAAAAAAAAAATCAAATAAGTAACAAAAATAGGTTATAGAAATTATTTACCTAAATAGTTTAGCAATAAAAATTTAGTTTTATTTAAATCAGTATAAGTGTTACTTTTAAATTTTTTAATTTCTATTGTTTTAAATTTATGAATTTATAATGTGAGATTGACAATTTTTGTAACTAAAAACTAAATTCAAAAATGTTGATTTTTTTTTACCAGCTGCTATTGATAACATAGATCAGTTTCGTGAAGAAGCTGAAGACCTTCTTTCCCCATCTGAAACTGTAAAAATGCGCAAAACTTCTCGCCAAATGAAATTAGAAGTTAATGAGCAGAGTGGAAAAGATTCAAAAACATTAAGAAAAACAAAGTCTGCAAGACTTGTTAGAGAATCAAGTGACAAAATGATAAAGGACTCTGAAAAAAATAAGAAGGATAAAAAAGACGATTCTTCTATTAGCAAAAATAAGAAAGCTGATAAAGATGGTGAATCTAAGCGATCTTTGCATTTAAAAGTAACTAGAAAATTGCCCAAAAAGGTAACATTTAGTGCAGTTATAAAAATTTTTTTTAAAGGTTTTAAAGTAATAAAATTAAGATTGTGAAATTGTTCTCTATAACACATGCACATTAAGTTATTACACATGCACACATGCACACATCACAAAGTTAAACAATAACTCATATAAGTTAAATTATTGCATACGTATGCACACTAAGGTTATGACAACAAAATTTTTTACAAAATTTTGTATCACTTGTTGTTACAAATGATGAACCTTTGTAACCTGATTATTTGTAAATTATTATTAGAACTAGTTTTAAAAAAAATTCCTGCACCAAGACACCCAATGTGATGGGCATCATTATTTACCAAAAATATTTTTTTTATCTTAAAGTATGTCATGTTGAGCCTCCAAAGAAGTGAAATTATATAGAGATTTTATAAATAACAGTCTTTATTAAAATTTAAAAAACTTTTTTGTTTTAAAATGTTAGTTTTTTGCAATAAATTTTAAAAAATTGATAACTTTATTTTTTTGAAATTTTGAAAATAGATGAAACTTGATATTTCAAGTATTTTAGATAATATATAACATCCACAATGTTGTCGTGTCTTGGTGTCATCAAATGTCTTAGTGTCGTCAAGTGTCTTGGTGTCATCACAAAGTCTTGGCGGGGGAACTTTTTGAGCAAAATAATTGTGATTTCCTTTATCAGTATTAAAATATTTATTGATTGCTACTACAGGTCAAGTAATAATTTTTTTGTCACAATTCTAACACACACATGCATATGCATTAACATACATAATGGATAAATTCACCCAACATTCAAATAGAACTTCCCAGGTTCCATTATCAACTTTAAAAACAAAATATAAACATGATCCTTTATTGAAACTGATCTTTAAAAGTGTTCCTGATTGAATCATTATCATTGGCTTTCGATGCCATGTTACACATATTAGTATTTTTTTGTAAATAATATCAATGATTTGTCCTACAATCAAATTCATGTAAATCCAAATTAAGGAGGTGGGGATCTTAATAAGTTAAGGGTGACAAAAGTTCCTTTATTGCACAAAATGACAAGTTTTGCCTCAAAACTAGATACTGCTAACTTGACATCATCTGTTTGGTTGTTATCCTTCATCTTAAGAAAGATTGTCAGAAGCATAGTTATTGCTGTTATTTTTCATCACTGTTTTTTGAGTTGTCAGCAATAAACCTTTTGATGCTTGCAGGTTATGCTACTTTTTTTTTAATTCTGCTGAAGATTTTTCTTTTTGCTATAAATACTTTTGAAGTATTGTCTTTTTTTTCCCCATGATTTAACACACTTTTTTGTTTTCAAACAGGAGTTGAAATGTATTTTTCGGGACTGCTTGATTTATTATCTACTTAGGTAACAGGAATCCCAGATTATTCAGCTCTATCTTTGATTAGTTTTTCAAGAATAAGTTTTGTAAAACTCTGCAATTTTATCTGAGTTTGCTGAAAACTTCATTGGTTCTGATAGTAGTTTGCATTTTCCTAATAAATAGCAGAATAATTGTGAACATGTTTTTTAACAAGTATTGTGAACATGTTTTTTAACAAGAATTGTGAACATGTTTTTTAACTTACTAGTTCTGATCTTCAACAATAATCTGTTCTTCTTTAAATTTTATGCGGTAGTGGTGTAGTGGTAGAGCGCTCGCTTCATAAACGAGTGGTTCCGAGTTCGATCCCCACCACGTCCCTGGTAGTACCGCACTCAACTGGTTTCTCCGCGCAGTGGCCTTGTTCGTCAAGGTTCGTGTTTCGGAGTTATAGAGTTGAGAGAGGGTTATAGCCACAAAATAAGTAGCCTCCTCGTCTGTAGTGGCCTTCTCGGCCTTGAGGAGGTGAATTAAAATAAAAATTAAAAAAAAAAGGCAAAAATACTTTTAAAAGGTAGCAATAGCTTTAAAAAACTTTTAATAAATATAAAATAATATACTTCAGTATATTATTTTATATTTATATTATAATCATCTTCATCCGAATGCAGATGCATCTGCACCCAAAATGCTTGCACATTTCCATCCAATTGCAGGCTCATCTGCATTCAATGGGTGCATGATCTGGGTTAAATGGAAATCTGTTTCATTGTCTGGAGTCAATATAAAAATGTATTTATTTGCAGATGATTATAAAATATTATGAAAAATTTTTAATAATATATTATAGTCATCTGCATCCAAATTTAAGAATGGAGAATTTATATAAACTTTCTGAGTACAGGTAAATAAGTGTTTGTATTAGTAGCCTGTTAATATCCAGTTATGACAAGTACATTTTGAAATAATATTCTTATCACCAAAGCACACAAAATATTTGTTAAAAGACTCAATGTTAATAGATATAGAATAGATGTTTGATTATTACAACTGTGTTCAAATCCATTTATTTAACATTTTGCACAATCAATCATTCACAATCAATCAATATATTTGTTTACAAATAGTATAAACTACTAACATAAAGTAAACACCTAATGACTATGATTAAAATACTAATAGTAATAATAATAAAAATAATATTTAAATTATTAATACTACTACTAATAATAAATAATAATAATAATAGATAATAATAGCATGTTATTTTAACAATAGTAATAATGTTATTATTATTACTATTGTTAAAATAATATGTTATTATTATTGGTGTTATTTAAAATAATTATAATAATATAAATAGATTGGTATAAATTTCCATACAACAATTGTTTATACATACAAAGTTACAGTTGCAAAAAGTAATAAACTGACAAAACATAACAACGATGACAAACAACTATTGCTAAAAAAGTAATAAACTGACAAAACATAACAACGATGACAAACAACTATTGCTAAAAAAGTAATAAACTGACAAAACATAACAACGATGACAAACAACTATTGCTAAAAAAGTAATAAACTGACAAAACATAACAACGATGACAAACAACTATTGCTAAAAAAGTAATAAACTGACAAAACATAACGATGACAAACAACTATTGCTAACAAACAACTATTGCTAAAAAAGTAATAAACTGACAAAACATAACAACGATGACAAACAACTATTGCTAAAAAAGTAATAAACTGACAAAACATAACAACGATGGCAAACAACTATTGATAACAAACAACTATTGCTAAAAAAGTAATAAACTGACAAAACATAACAACGATGACAAACAACTATTGCTAAAAAAGTAATCTCTTAGTAAATTTAAAATTGAGTGTAACATCAATGTTACAGGATGGGTTATGCCTGTAGGTAAGTATGCAAGATTTACTACCAAGCAGATAATTTTTTATATGAATAGTTCATAGTTGAACAAGAAACAGGTTGTAAAACAAAACTAGAAAAAGTTTTGTCGAGAAAAAGTTCTAGAAAAACCTATAAAAATTTAATCTAGTTCAGACTATCAAGAACTTAACAGTAGTAGACATAAAAGATGTATTTGCTAATGAAAATTTAGTTACTAAGATTTTAGCCATTATTACGGAACTAAATAATGTTAAGGTTGCACGTTTGTTATTGCAACAAAGATTTTTGGAAAGTAATTAGTATTTATGTCTGAATAAATAAGTAATTAAAGTTAAACAAGAAGCTCATTTGGACAAATAAGCTTAATAGTTGATTATTATGATGTGTTTATCAACTTTATAGTTAGACTAAATAAAAGTTTTTATTGGTCCAACCTGTATAGGAATTTCTTTTCAAAAACTAATCATGGCTATATGAAGCACTTTGTTAGCATAGATATGGAAGTGGTAAGTGAATACTGAAGAGAATGAACTTGAACTCCAAAAATAAAGTTATTTTTTGTGTCAAGAGCTGTTTTAAATAAAATCTAATTTAGACTATACGCATTGAAATCATTTAATTTATTGAGTATTTAGGTGAATCAACAATTTTAAAAAATAAACAATTCAATAGTTCAATGGCACATTGACTTTAGGATTGTCCATAAATGTTGTCTATACGCAATGCTAAATTTAATTAATAAGCTAAACGAAAAAGATCAAAAGCTTTCTTTTGCATAGTCTTTATTAGACCAAAAATTAAAATAGTTTTCAAGTTCAATGAAACTCACAGTGCAAAAGAGCAAATGGTTTTTTAAATTAATTTAGCATTGCATAATATAAGGATGATCCCTTTTTGCTTATTTTTTAATTTCAATTCCCCAAGGCCATGAAGACCACTACAGTCTAGGAGGCTACTTTAATCGCGATTACAACCCTCTCTCAATTCTATAACTCCAAAACACGAATCTTGACAAACAAGACCGCTGCGCAAAGAAACAAGTTGAGTGTGGTACTAACAGGGACGTGGTGGGATTCAAACTCAGATTCAAATTTCTTGCTTACGAATCGATTGCTCTACCGCTACCACTACAACCACATAAATGGATAAAACCTGAAGTTCATTTTAAAGACCTACAATATATTATTAGTTTAGAGTAACCAGTAACCCTCCCCCTACCCTGTTGTTACGGGCCTGAGAGTAACCAAAAGTTAGTTGAAAGTTTGTGTTAATAAAACTTTCGTTTTTGGGTAATGGAAAAAAATAATTTTACAGGTATGTTAAAAGCAAATTTTAGTGTATGAAATAGTTTTAAACTGTTTTATAAAAAGTTAGCAATTTTTCTCATTTCTACATACTACATGTTAACATGGTTAGCTTTGAAAAAAATTACCATTTTGAACCTTTAAACCAAATAACTTTTAAACTGCTTTAAAATTTCCAGATTTTTCTTCTTAAAACAATTTTAACTTTTTAAATTTTTTTTATGTGCGTTTAGCACCACTACACTCAATCACCTTTCTTTTTTTTCCTTCTTTCCTAGACATCTTCCCTCTTTTCAATGTACTCATCAAATATTTAACTATTTAATCAACTTCAATGTTCTGAAGTTTCTTGCTTTCAGCCATTATTGTTAGTATTGGTAATATTGCTTTCCACTATGAATGGCTGCATATTATTAATATATCTTATTTTGGCCATGAACCAAAATTCTGTTTTGTGTTTATCATTTGTGTTTATCAATTATATTTTTTTACTGCAGTTTTTTCTACTTGGTTTCGACTTCATGCTCAAAAAACTTTTACTGCAGTTTTTTCTACTTGGTTTCGACTTCATGCTCAAAAAACTTTTAGTCATGATCTTTTTTTTTTGAACTTTTATTTTGAATTTTAAATTTGTAAACTCAATTTTTTTCATGCTTCCAACAAGGCTGCAAGCAACCACTATTAAAGTTGGAAGTTACTAAAAGAAACAACATGAAGTTTAAAGAGCAAGATAACGATGGTCAGACGACTTAAAATATTGCAAATCATATAAAACAGGAAAGCAAGAAGAAGGAAGCGAGTTCCAAAGAACTGATGTTTGAGAAAAAAATTAGCGGAATAAGAGTTTTTGGAACACATAGGAATAGTCACAGAAAAAGGATGAGACTTAATTGAATGACAAGTAACACAAGAATGAATTTTAGTAGATGGCCTAAAAGACAATAGCTCTTTAGAGCAGTGCCCATTATAGTATTTGTAGAAAAGAGAAAGAGAAACAACATTACAATGATCCTATAATGGTTAAAGATGGCGATAATGGTTGGCTGCAGGAGCAGGTCCAACTATGTTTGCAATAAGTTTTTGCACCTTGTCTGAAAGAGAAAGGGCATCATTGGAAGATCTGCTCCAGATATGGCAACAATATTTCATACAAAAATGGGTTTGAGATTTTTAGAGATAAAAAAAATTGGGTTTTTATCTGAATTAAAGTTCATTAGCCATTGTGAGCCTCATGCTGTAGCAGAAATGAGAACTTTTTCAAGCTGGAATGCCCCCTTCAAGCAATCAGAGAGTGTTGGCTTCTTATCAAGACAAAAATAAATGGTTAGATGTAAGAATACCTTACATTGTAAGAATACCTGAAAGATCGTTAATGTGAATTAAAAAGAGTATAGGGCGAAGGATAGAACCTTGAGGAACCCCTGAAGTTACAGAATATAAAGAAAAGTGTGATTTAGCATTGAGTTTCTTTCCTGTATTTATGCGTGTCCTATTCATACAGTTTACAGTTTTTTAAGCCTTCTGGTAATTGTGGTAGAGGTATATTGGTAGCTTGCTTTATAAGCAAAAGGTTTGTGCTTATTTGAGTAGTTAAACAAATGTTGTTCTATATTGATTATACCAAAATTGCTTATAGAATTTGTTTATTAATTCCAAAATTGTGTATAAAATTATTATATCTTCCGTTTTTTTCTATTCGCTTCTTCCGTTAAATATTTAAGATATAACTTTTTTGTTGGTATAGGAAAGTTCTTCATTGAATATATTAACAAATGTTGTTCTATATTGCATAATTGTTTATAGAATTATTATTTAAAAGCACCTATAAAAATTAAAAAGTGTTCAACAACAAAGGACCAATAATATAGTAATAATAAAAGTAATTTTTTTGGTAGACAGTTATTATTTTTGAGTTGTCACACTTTTCTTGTACCTCACAATCCACTTGAGTTCTCTGCAAGCTTTTTTTTGCAAACAGTTTTTTTTACAATGCTTTGATATGTGTTGTGAGTCATTATCCAGTTGCATGGTGAACTTGTGCCCAATTAAATGTTTCCCACATGGTACAGCATTTCTTCATATCTTATGATATCCACTCTTATTGAGAATTTACTTTTATGAGATTACCAACCCGATTAGAAGCAATTTCACTCATTTTATAAAATTATTTGAAATTGTCCTACATCATTGTTGAAACTCAAATTTGACAGTAGGCTGTACACACAGCGGATTGAATTTTTTAGTAGTTGTTCATTGTACATAGATCTGTTGTCTTGTTTCAAAACAAGAATTTTGAATTTGTCCATCCACAATACATTTTTCTTTTTTTTTAAATTTATTGTTTTTGATAGACATTTTTAAGTAGCTACCCTTCAAGCCAACAGTTTTCAAGTGACGCTTTGAAACTATTAAAATTTCTGGTTACCAGAAACTTTTGTCAGGTGATATGTATATATATATATATTTATATATATATATATTTTTTTTATGTGTGTATATAAATATATATATATATATATATATATATATATATATATATATATATATATATATATATATATATATATATATATATATATATATATATATATATATATATTTATATATATATATATTTTTTTTATGTGTGTATATAAATATATATATGTATAAATATATGTATATATATATATTTATATATATATATATATATTTTTTTTATGTGTGTATATAAATATATATATGTATATATATATATTTATATATATATATATTTTTTTTATGTGTGTATATAAATATATATATATATATGTATATGTATATATATATATATATATATATATATATATATATATATATATATATATATATATATATATATATATATATATATATACATATATATATATACATATACATATACATATACATATATATATATATATATATATATATATATATATATATATATATATATATATATATATATATATATATATATATATATATAAATATATATATATATATATATATATATATATATATATATATATATATATATATATATATATATATTTATATATACACACACACACACACACACACACACACATACACACAAGCCTTCTATTTACCACAAGACCGTGCATATAATAATTTGTTTTGGTCAGGGCATTTTGCATATTTGAATAATTTGCGTGTTTTAAAAATGTGCTGAAAAAGCCAAACTAAACTGAAGAAAAAACTAAAAAACAATTCATAAATCAAAACAAAACAAAAGAAATTAAATCATAAAAAATGAGAAAATAAATTAAAGATAAATTTGAAAAAATTAAACTGTACATATAACATGTTTTTTTTTTTTAATTTAAAAATATTTTCACTTGAAAAGTTTTTGTTATGAAAAAAAAAGACATGAAAAGTTTTAAAGTTATTTAATCCAAACTTAATTGCTTCAATCATTTAAAGCTTTAAAACTTTAAAATTTTTCAATGTCTACTAAGTGAATAAAACCTAAAAATAGATACAATTCGTCAAAAGAATTTGAACTTGCACCCAGTTCTTAACTAACAGTTGTGCTTCAACTGTTAGTTGATGTTGTTTGTAAAATTATTAGCTCTAAACTATTAATAAATCAATATATTTACAATAACATCTTACAATCGAGATCATTTACAAATAGTTAAAAATTAATCTTAATTTAAATAAAATGAAATAATTTTATTGATACAAGTAATAATGATAGTTATAATTATGATAAATTAACAATTGAGTTGTTTATTTTGAAAATGAAAGTTTGAAAATTTTGAAGAGTTGTTTAAGTGAAAGTTTGAAAATCATTTTGTTTTCAAACAGATTTTTAAAGGTTTGTGTTTTAACATAAATAACATATATTAACATTTTAAACATATTAACATGTTAACTAGCAAAACTTTTTTTCAAAATATCTTCATTTTCAACACAATTAGTTAAAATTATTTCACAAATGAAGAGATATCGTTACACTGTAATCATTGTTATCAATAACTTGATCTTTTTTGAAAAGGTGATCTATGCTAAGATAAACGATCAATAAAGATCAGTTATAACAATAATAAGATAGTTATATAACAATAAACCAATATTTATCTCTAAACAACAATTGAATATTATGCATAGATAAGAAAGTTACAAGCAGTTATATACCAACAAAACCTAACAATACATTTTTAAAACATGCAAATTATCAAAACACGCAAAGAGGTGTGGCCAAGGTGTCGAAACAAAGTATTATATGCCTGGTCAGATAATGTGGGATATAAACAAAATAGATAAAAAAAACAAGTCAAATAAACATATACAAATTTTATAAAACTGGTAATTAAGCCAACGTCAAACCATTTCTGTGACCTGCCACACTCATCACACTCATTTTCATTATTATCACATCAAACACACGCACACACACACACACACACACACACACATATATATGTAATTGTTTTTATTTGTTTTAGATTTTTACCTTATATCTTATATTGTCAGCAAACACACGCACACACACACACACACACACACACACACACACATATATATGTAATTGTTTTTATTTGTTTTAGATTTTTACCTTATATCTTTTATATCTTATTTATTATATTATTTTTTTAATAGAAGTTAAAAAAAGAAGATAACGGTGATTCTTTTCCTGTTATATATCCATGTGGCATCTGTACAAAAGAAGTTAGTGATACAGATGAGGCTATATTGTGTGAAGCAGGTTGTGAATTCTGGTACCATCGTAGTTGTACTGGAATGACTGATATAGCATATCAACTTCTAACAAATCAAGATAATGCTGAGTGGGTTTGTGACAAATGCATTGCTACAAAATCTGTACCATTAGTGAAAATTAAATCAGCTGTAATGAACACTTAAACTACATGATTTTCAATGCTTTAATTGTCAATATCTTGTTATTATTTATAAAATATACAAATAAACTTTTATTGTATCAAAATTTAGTATTAATAATAATTATAAAACAGTTTTGAAAAATTCTTTTGTTTGTATTTTGCATTCTTTTAATAGTAAATCATTAATTGCAGAATTTCATATCAGAATTTGTACAACAAAAACTTTAATTTATTTCAGTAAATGGTTAACCAGGTGGTGATGGTAAGAAACAGCTACCAGGTTGTGGTGGTGATGGGGCTGAACTTTTAGTAATAAATAAAAACAGTTCTTAAACAAAATTCTCTAAGTTAATTAACTAATTAAACAAAAAATTTTAATTAGTAAATTTATATATCAAACAATTGATTGTCTTTAATTGATGACACTGCATCAAGTATTTCTATTAAAGATGTTAATTTTGGTACATAGTCTATTCAAAGTTTATATTTTTAATTATTTACTTAAATTTTTTTAAGTTTTATACAAGCACTATTTAAGGGTAAGTTATGGATTTATCTGAAGGTTTCTATAAGTAAAGTTGACAACATACAGTGATTGTTTTCATGATGTTATTATTGTTTTTAAATCAAACCCAGCCCTTCAAAAAAGTTATTTTAATTATATATGTATATATGTATATATATATATATATATATATATATATATATATATATATATATATATATATATATATATATATATATATATATATATATATATATATATATATATATATATATTTGTAACAAATATATACAACATAGAAGACTAAAAAAAAATCCTTTCAAAAATTTTTTATCAGAATGTTTGGGTGAAGGGGAGTGAGGGGTATGATTAAAACCTTAAGAAATATCAAATAATATTTTAGTCACAGTTTCACAAATCTTTAGGTTTAAACAAAATTCAAATCAAGACAAGTCAAAAAAGATCTAAAAAAATGTAAGTGTTTATTACAAAGGAATAAAATTTCAAATAAAAATTGTACAACAAAAAATATGGTATTTTGCATAAAAATAGATGTATATTAATAAGATTTTCTAAATATCTTTATTTCCAAGACTTTTTTCATGTTCTAACAAAATTAACTTTTTTCATGTTATTTCTAAGAGTTAGAAGAGCTTTCATTTAAACATTACATATTTCTAATTGAGGTAAATCTTTTCCTGCCTCCTGGAAAATGGCTTTATTATTTAAAAGCTTCTGAGTGTTTACATTTTTTAGTTTCTATATATCTTTTATGATATCTTCTTTGACAGGGCTTGCAGCAGCCACTTATTTTCAACTCAAACAAAACTCATTTGTTTTTCTGTTAATAATTATTGAATTAAATAATTGAATTAAGTAATTATTGAAATGTTGTTGACATTCCTTTATTGACGAATCTTTAAATTTATGATTAGTTGTGATGATAAGATTAAATTTATGATTAGTTGTGATGATAATTTTAAATCTATGATTAGTTGTTTTTTCCACTTTTCTGAGTTCATATTATTTAATATTATTAAAGTAAAAATCTTTTTATTTTAGAATAATTTACTGTCTGGAATGGCAAGTAAGTTTAGTTGCTATAACATTTTTGTTCTTTTATATTAATTGAATCTTTTTATCATGCAATTTGATGATTTTTTTTTTTTTTTTTTTTTTTTCACTCTGACAACTTTTCAAAAATTTTGTTTAGTTTTCTTTAACTTTTTTCATTTGTTCATACAAAATTTATTACTTGTTTTATTTGTTACCTTCAATAATAACACAATAGCACATATGAAAAAACTTAACATGCTTCCTTTATGTTGTAGTCACATTACAAGCAGGTTGCAGTTAATTTTTGGCTTTAAATAAACGCGATCATTAAAGCAATAGATGTAGTCAATGAGGCTTATGTTGCTCTAGCTTGAACGTTATTTAAATTTCTTTTGGATCTATAATATAAAAGAAACATGTTGAAAGTTTTCACATCTGCAGTAAAAAATAAAAACAACAAAAATAAAACACAATAAAAGAGCTATTTCATATCTACAGTAAAAAAAAAAAAAAAACCAAAAATAAGACACCAAAAAAGAGTTGCTCCCTTTAAATCTATTAAGAATTTTATTCTTTTTATTTATTTTTATTTGCAAAAATTTTTGATAAAAAAAACAACCTTTTTTTTTTTGTTGATTTTTTTATCTAAATTTAGAATTTGTTTTTGTAATATTCATAATTTTTTAGATGATGGCGTTATAATTACTGAGTTAGCAGCCTTACCAGGTGTACCAGTTGCCTATCGTTTGTTTGAAGCAAAGAAAGCTGACCCAAAAAAACTTGACTTAAGTAGGTTAGTATTTTGTAAAAAGTTACTTTAACAAAAATGTAAAAAAATTCAAAGAGCTTGATGTGTGCATTTAATTGCACATATTGGTTCTTCATTTTCATTTCTTCATTTCAAGAATTTTTCAACAATATCAGTATGTAGCTATTAGAAAATGTATTGAAATTTACTCATGTTCAAAATATTCATTTAATTTAATATTGAAAGTGTATCGAAGTTTACTCATGTTCAAAATGTTTATTTAAACCAATATTGAACTTCTCTGCAAAATGTAATTTGCTTGAACCAAGAATAAATTTTTCTACGAAACATCACATATAACTAATTTTAATTTCTGATTTTACATGATAATTAATAGCTTAATGTAAAATAAACAAAGTTGTCAATTTGTGTTGTTAATTTAAAGTTGTCAATTTGTGTTGACACTAAGATTGGAGTATTGATTGGCTAAATGTCAAGTTTTTTTTTTGTTGTTGTATTTTTTTTGCCTGTAAATTAACAAAAAATACACATATAGATATTTTAGATTGTAATCTAAAATATTATATACTTTAAATTAAAATTTTTAATAAAGTAAAAATTAATTTTATTTATTAATAAAGTTAAAAGGAAAATCTCATATAAAGTTTAAAATTGATTAAAAAACAAAATTCACTTAGTAAACTTAATTTACTAAAAAGTATATTTATTATAAAAAATATCTTTATCATCATTTATATTTGTTCTGAAGTAATAGTATTTAATAAAAGTAAATGGTAAATTTCATAATTGACAATATAAAGCTACAACAAAAACTTCAAAAGTTAAAACATCACAAATGAGTGTTTAGACCTTTTTTAATTTAAAATATTGTTTCTCTAATATTTATAACTGGTGAGTATATTTTAGAGAAAATTGTGGCGAAAAACAAATTATGGTAATAAAAAAATAGTATTAAAGTTAAATATATAAAAAAGTAATTATATAAAAAATATATAGAAAAAATCTTGTGTCAATTTCTTGTTGATTTTAGCATAATATATATATATATATATATATATATAT